GACTGCAAGTTTAAATCCCTGGGCTGCACATAGTGAGACCCTGTTTCAGAAAAAATAAGGACTGGAGTTGTGTTGTAAAGTACTTGCCTAGCATGCTCAGATTCTGGGTTGCTTAGAACAACATTATGAATATACAACACACACACACACACACACACACACACACACACACACACACCAGAATGCAGTAAAAACAAACTCAGCATGTGTTCCCAAATGCCAAATCCATTGCAGTCGTTAATGTGACAACAAGAACTGTTTGTAATAGATCATCTCATGAATGGCAAAATTTTCAAAACACCAACAAAGAAAAAATATTTTCCTATAATTTCCTGTATCAGTATATTAATAATCATTCTGGTTTCACTTGTATTTCTTTTCACAGTAATACTCTAATAGAGTGCAAATATTAAGGGGATAAAGTAAGTCTGAGTTATTTAAACACAGCCTACTAATGCTTTTATGCTCTTAATTATTTATCTATGAAACTAGTAATAACATTAACATACATATGTAACTATGAAGTAATATAACTTAGTAAATAGGAAAATAATTATCAGCCAACAAAAAGCCTTCTCAAGCAAATCCAGCTATTTTTATACCTTCAAAATCCTTTTGGCTTAAAATGCTGGAGTTGTTTTGTTAAATGAAAGTTGTGACATCAACATTACTTTTGTTCTACTATGACGAAATACTTTGGTTATACCACAACCTGGTTGATTTTATTTATTTCAGATTTGATGACAGGTAAACATCAGAAGATTATTTGTCAGTGAGAATGAAAGTGGACAAAACCTACACCTGCTCTATAGAATGAGGTAACTAGTAATAATTAACTCCCTATGAGTTTCTTCATTACACTTTCGTACCTGGGAACCTGTGGCTCAAGGCACAATTTCTTTCCATTCTTCAGCAAAAAGAGAAAAGACACACACCTTTCAGTCCCTGAGTCTATGGGGTTGAAATCAACGGAGTAGGGCTGGATGAACAGGGGAGGGAAGAGCGGCATGGATGGAGCAGAGAAAGCTGGGTGGTGACGCAGAGGGGTGCGCTGCCTGTGCACCTCTAGAATGGAAGTGCACTTGAGATCGGCTCAAGAGGCGATCTTCACACACTCCCCACTCATCCATGATCCTTTTTTCCCCCAAGTTCAGCTGGAGGATGGAGTAGGAGCAAAGGAAGGGATGTAGGGGAGCGCAAGTAGGTGTGCTGACTTCCTGTAGGTCCACAGCACCTTAGCCACAGATCACAAGTCCCGTCCCTCAGCAAGGAGGTGTATTCAGTAGGGGAAGACCTGCAGGTGCAGAGTCTGGCACAATGCCGGCACACGTTTCAAGCCAATAGAGTGTGGCTAGTATTAGCGATAAGAACTCCCCAGTGCGGGGGGGGGGGGGAGTTCCAGACTCTCTCCCCACCCCTCACCTTCCACCCTACCCCAGCTTGCTTAGGCTTTTACTTCTGGCTAAGGTGACCACAGACGACAGGAGCTGCAGGTTGGGCCAGAGTAGAGGGGGCACCCGATGTCCCTAAGGGGGGAGGGGGGGACTTGTCGCTAAGGCTCCCAGCAGGGGTCTGACAAGCAAGGACAGGACTTGCCCAAGCTAGTGGCTTCAAGACCTTTTATATGGATTATGGGTCCAGCATCTGGAATGAGGAACTGGGATGAGGAAGCAAAGACACTTTGGGGGAAAAAAAAGAGTTGGGTTCTGGCCAGTCAAAATTAAAACACAACAGAAGGTAAGAAAGTCTGGGGTCAACTGCCTTGGCTGGGGACTGGCAGCAGGATGGACATCTCCAACTTGTCCTTACATACGCGCACGTCTATGGAGTTAGAAACTGCAGCACCTGAGTTTCACAAAGTTCATGTAGCATAATAACAGGGCTCTCTATGTCACCAGTCAATGTGCACAGCACACACTGCCAGCACTCAGATCCCTCCTTTCCTTCCCTTTGGTAATTATATTACCAAAGACTGCCAATTCCTCCTTCCCATTCTTGTTGCTTGCTAATGAGTTTGGCTACTGTGTGGTTAAGGATGTGGTGTTGGCCAGTGTTTTCTGCTACCAGAATTTGGTTTCTAGGCAGTGACTGAATTTCACAGCAACATAGAAAAGCCTTCCCCAGTCTCTTGCATGGTGTTTCCCTGGCTCCATTCACCAGCATCCAATCTAGGATAGGAAGCAAGGTCTAATGTCCTCATTACTCTTTTAGAAATAGCACGTTTTTCTAAAGTGTGAATGTATTGTTATTTTAAAAACTTAACATCTCAGATGCTTCTCCATTCTGCTCCTTCCTGGATAATTGCTCCCAGTGCCTATTGTTCCCTGAACCAGTACCAGCGACTGGGTGAAACCAGCTGTGCTGTGTTGTGCAATGGAATATCACATAAGAAAGAAAACAAGACCAAAGTGAACTGGGAACCCCTCCTTGAGCAGAACAGAAATAAACTGACTCTCAGAAATAAGTATACTCTCATCTCAAAGCCAAAAGCTGTCATAAAAATTAGGAGTGATGACTAGTTCCCACGTCTCTGAATTACTGGACATCCTCAAGCTCAATAGGATAAAATTCCTTCAGGAGGATGCAACTTATCTACGCTCCTGAGGTCTGGAAGTCTTTTTTCTCCATCTTCCCATCACTCACTCTTTAGTAGGCTAAATCCTATTCCTATTTCTGGTGTCAGCTTAAAGGTCACTTCCTCAGAAGAGCCTGCTCTGAAAACTATATCTCTTATGTTCCCTTTGTCATTCTATCTTATAGCACCTATACTCTGTTTCTCAGAAATAACACACATACACACATGTTAGATATACTATAGGCACATTTACATGTGTATTTATGTGTCTGTGTAAAAGTAGTTTCTTTCCCTAAATTTTTGGAGGTCATAACATTTATCACTTTTAGCCCTTTAGTAAGGACTCAATAAAAGTAGCCACATTAGTGACAGCAGTGAGTGTTGAAAATGATGATAAAGCTTTGACTTGGTCATAGGTTTGTTTCTAAGGGCAATTGGAGATTTACATGTGTTACATGTGGCTGTGGTTAGCTGTCCAGCTGTCTCCCACATGGACAGTGAGATCTTCAAGGGCAATTCATTGTGACATAAATAATTGACCACTCAGCATCTGATACAGTGGCTGCTGCAACACATATTTTAATTCATGTGTTTGTAGAACTGAAACTTGAGATTCCTTCTAGGTTAACATCACAGGGAAGGAGGGAGATGGTTTTGGATGAGAATGAACAATATACTAGATATATACAGCCATTCCCCCTGACCTCAATATTTGCAGGACAAATGATCCAGGTAAAAGTGAGGGATAATCAAATCCCTTCTTCTGTACATATAAACAAAATAATTCAGAGTGCGAACATTACAATAAGACACCCACATCTTCAGAAGTATAAGCATAGCACAAACAAAATGGCATGTCTCAAGAGCTTAGCTCTCACAGCTTTCAGTAGGAAACCATCACAGCTAGATTAAAATGCCTGAGCTATCTTTAATTATTGGAGAAATCTAATGAAAACACCTGTAATCTCCATTTACTGCTTTGTTACATATTTGTGGCTAGCTTTGGCTAATTCTTACTGAATAAATGTGTTTATGTTGTAGATAAAAGAGTTTAAGGCATTGAGCCTATGATGTGAGAGAGATACTAAAAAGAGTCTTTAATGACACAAAATTGTTCACTGAATACTTTCCAAAGTCCATGCAGGGGTTGAAATAGGTGACTGTATTTCTTCTATAACCAGTGTAATATATATAATATGATATTTATGTATTGAATCCTGTGTTGTGTATCAACAACACTATGTAATATCTAGCAGAAGCTTGTCAGAAGAGAAGGAATCCAAGAGAGTAGTATGATACAGTGGTTCTTGCTCTACCACTGAGTTCCATCCTAAGTGAGCTCAAAGCAAGTTTATTTAATCAGTGGAACTGTAGTAGTTTTCTCTGTGATACTGGAGATGCTAATATTACTACTGTTAACCCCTTACTAATATTGTATGGCATGGAGTACTTAAAGTATTTTGAACTTAAGTCTAATTTTCACATATATACAACAGGTATTAAGTGATCTCTCATCCAGAGCTAAGGTACTGTAAGTTAAAGAGTGTGACCAAATTTAAATGACTAATGAGTAGGGAAGCTAGGTTGTACCAACTCAGAAGCAGATTATAGTTATCTTCAGAATTATTTATTTTATGCATGGAAAACAATTAAAATATTTGGCATTTTAAAATTTACTAATACACTTTGACTAACAGTACAATGAAATGGCACACATAATCAACTTAGTGACTTTTTTTTGGCAATATTGTGGAATGCTGGTTTTTAAAAAATCAAGAGAATTAAAGCTGTTTCTCCAACAAGTCTGTGGAAATTGACAATATATGACAATAAATTAATAACTACTTTTATTTCCATGCTAGTATTTTTATAGGAATACTACAGGTGTAAATTTTCTGGATTGGAAAGAATAGAGTTGTGTTGATTAAAGAAGCCTAATTAGTGGGCTAAATATGTAGTCACATGCTATAATCCCAGCTACTAGGGAGATGGGGGTAGAGATAAAGGAGAATAATGGTGCTTAGTCTGACCTGTACAAAAATATGAATGTTTGTCTGAAAAAATAGCTAAAGTAAAAAAGTGCTGAGGAAATGACTCAAGTGGTAGAGTGCTTGCCTAGTAACCTTGAAGCCTTGAGTTCAAAATCCAGTACCACCATTAAAAAAAAAAAACATAGTAGTACTAGCTAGAAAATATATTTCTCTTTGTACTTATTTTCAAGTCCAGTTCTAATAGTAAACTTGTAAGCAGGCAAACCTTCTACACAAAACATTTAATATCAAATGAAATCTATTGTTTCCATCCTTTTTTGCAAAAAATATAGAACTTAAAATATATCTATTCATGCTTTCTTCCATCATATATTTTTTCTCTACAAGTGTTAAGATATATACACTCTAAAGCCAATAACCACTGCTTGCAAGACTTAATTTCTACACTTTTATTATGTTTAATATTTGAAGTTTAAAATAAACTTTTAAGAGAATTCTCTAAAACAAGACGTTCTACTACTAAGTTACTGAAAAACCTCTAGGTGCCTAAATACATGAAACACATTTATAAGCAAGTATTCTATGCCACAATCTCTATCATTCCTATTGCTGTTAAACCACTGAAACCTGTTAATCAGCCTGGGCATAGGCAGCCTAAAAATAAAGTACAGAAAAAAACTTGTCACAAACATGTTTAGAAAGAAACTTTCAAATAAAGAAATACAAAATAGTACAATGTTGAGACAAGAATTATGGAGCAAACCATAAATTACAAGTTACAACTAAGCATGTTTTCATCTTTTCTGTCGTCACTTAAGTAGCCGTCTTAAAACAAAATACGATTTTTGAAACAGAATAGAAAAATAGATCCAAGTTTGCATACAATAAGAACAGGTGTCAAGGATAAATAAACACACTAGAAAAGGCATGACTTCAAAATTCTGCTCTTAAGATCAGAAAGTAAGGGCTGGGAAGGTGGCTCAGTGGTAGAGTGCATGCCTTGCAAGCAAGAAGCCCTGGGTTCGATTCCTCAGCACCACATAAACAGAAAAAGCCGGAAGTGGTGCTGTGGCTCCAGTGGTAGAGCACTAGCCTTGAGCTGAAGAGCTGAGGGACAGCGCCCAGACCCAGAGTTCAGGTCCCATGACCAGCAAAAAAAAAAAAAAAAAAAAGATCAGAAAGTAAGTAAATTTAAACAGCTGATTTATGACCTCTCAACATGTTTTGCAGCATTTTCTTGTTTGTAAGAACTTTTGGGTCCAGACAGAATTTCCTCCCATCCTTCAGAGTAGCTCTGCAGAAAAGAACAGAATCATCCCATTAGACTAGCAAAACAGATCTGTGAAGCTGGAGAAGATGATGTAGAAGGGATGGAGGTAAATGGCAATGAGTCCATAATACAGAATCAGGACTTACATCACTTGAACCTTGTCACAGTGGGGTCCTGGCTGGATCACCTCCACAGACTGGATCTTACTGAGATGAATTCCAGAGATGGTTTTCACACAGATGCAGCGCAGTTCCATGTACTCTTCAATGTCACCTATGGAAGAACGTATTAGTGACTGTGATCATTTCTCTGTTTCCTTATTTACAAGTCAGGAGTAATTATTCCTCTCCCATACATCTGTTAGGGATGTAACTGGCAAATCTTTAGTAACATGCCTAGCAGATTACCCAGCACATGTGAACAAACCACTAAACATAGCTTAGAGTTATTCTTGTAATGACTCCAGTTTCAGAAGCACTACGACCACCTCCCCCACCCCTCCAAATCCTCTCCACACATTTGCAGGGAAGCAGAGTTTTTGTTACCTTCATCGTATCCAAAGGTAGAGGGAACCAGCATGCTCAAGAACACAGAAAGCAGCAGCAACACATGTATGAGTTGAAGTGGGCTGACACTGGGACAGGAGGCACTGGCGTCAACTTTGTGTGTCATGATGGAGAACACTGAGCTAGTGTTGTTCCCAGAGCCAGAAGAACCTCAACGTGAGGGTGGCTGCTGTGTAGAAGTGTGAAGTACGTGGCTTTATATACTCTGCAGAAGTATTTGATATCCTTGCAATTCAACAGAAAGGAGGAAGAGGTAGGGATGGAGGAAGTGAGGCTATGTGGTGATATATCCCCTACAGAGTAGTCAATGTGTGCCCAACCCAGATAAACCAGACAGATCAAAATTCCTGCTAAATTAGTTGTAAAATGTATGCATCATTCCTACTCTCCCTTTTTCAATACTCATAGCTCTTACTGGTGTATAGCCACTCTACCTAGGGAGCTAGTGATTATATTGAAATGAAATAACCTGTACTATCTTTGTATAACCAAGTATTAATATCAACTTATGGGCTTCTTTCTGTCTTTTCAAATGAATTGTCTTTTGTAATTTCATCCAGAAAGCAGAAACAAACCTATCTTTCTTTTTTCTCTCTTTTTTCTTTTATTCTTTCCCTTTCTGTCCTGAGGATTGAACCCAGGGCTTTGTGCTTATTGGACAAGTACTTTAGCATCTTCTTTTTTTTTTCATCTTCTTAGATTATTATACTATTTTGTTGGTACAAGGAAACAAGGAGAGCATATAGTCAGTCATTTGCTATTTTTTATTTTTGTGATAGGGACTCATTCTGTAGCTTGATCTAGCCTCTAACTCAATTTTGCCACCACCTCTCAAGTACTGGAATTGTAAGTGAGTACTCTCACAATTCCAGTATTATTTTAAAAAACTGCATCTTGTCACAAAAAAGTCATTAGCAAGATTCAGTGGAAGTTCTATTTAGTTTCCTTTTGTTAAAATGTCCTAAGCCTCTTAGTCAGCATTGACATCAAACATATTTTTACTCATTTCTATTTAGTCAAGTAATATGAATTGAGTATTATGTGACAGACATTATAGCATTCTTCTCTGACTTACTCATTTAACTATTTCTTTTTCAAAAGCAAGACCTAAAATATTTAGCCAAAGCAATGACATATAAATCACTATTACTATTAACTTGTATTTCTGTCATTTGCATAATTTTCTTCTACTTTCATAATAAAAAAGCACAGATGACACTACACAAAAATAGGTAAACTACTACTTTAAAATCAGTCATTACATTAAATTTAGTTACCTTATGCAAAATAGTGGCTTCAATAAAAGCTGAAAGTAGAAGAAACAAATGTAAAAGGTTCTTCGGTTTTAAAATAACTTGACAACATTTCTTTAGAATCTTCTATTTTCATCCTTTATTGTGGTAAGTTAGTTTACCTCTTTTTCCCTCTTTAAGTTGCCTTATAAAATGCTAGTCACTGAGGAAACAAGTAGGTTTTCCTAACATATCTGTTAGCTCTTTAAAATAAAATATTAGAGACGTTGGAGGATCATTATCCATTAAAATTAAGACCTATATGAATGTTACATTAGAGTATTTTGAAGTGGTATTTCTCATGTCCATCCTCTAAATATAGGAAGTAAGCATTTGGTATAGAAGTTCCTGGGGTAAGTAACATTTGGGCTTTGTTAGTTAAAGGATGTTGGTGAATAAAAAGAGTTTTATAAGTACTGACACAAAATTGGTTTCCTGTATAGCTCTGAGCTGGTAAGAATTGTTTCTGACCCCAATCACTCTATTTTGGGTAATTTCATTTGTTGAACACCATATGCATGAATGTTACCACATTTTACAATATCGTCCTCTGAGAAAATTCAAATACAACGGTGTTCCAGAGGTTACAAATTGTTAACAAGTACCACTGACCCTGTTTGTCTCTGTAACAAGTCAACCCTGAATATAGTGGCTTAAACGCTCAATGTATTACTTCTGATAATGATTTACATTAATGAGAGCTTCTCCTATTGTCCTCCCTTTTCCCATGCTCACCATGAACCTGGTCGGGAAGAGCAGAAGTGGCTGAACATCAAAATGGCTTCCTTCTTACAGGAGGGGGTGGATGCTGTTGTCTACTGGGACATCTGTTCTTATTCCCTGAAGTGGCATCATGTAACTTCTCAACAACAAACACAGTGGAGGGAAGGGAGAGAGCAAGAGGGCAAGGAAAAGAGAAGGGAAAGGAAAGAGGGGAAAAAGGGGGAAGCAAAAGAACTACAATCCCTTCCACTCCCTTACTTCTCTTCTCTTGTATCTCTTCTCTCCTGTCTTATTCCTTCCTTCCTTCCTTCCTTTTCCTTCCCTCCAAGCCTTTCTTTCCACTTTTGAGAAAATCAGCATTTCACAGGAAAATCAAGTATATTTAATACAAACAGTATCAGGGCTTAACTCAGTGTGAAAGCTCCCATTGTCATTATTTCCACATCATAAGGATCCTTCACAGACTCTGGTATAAAATGAGATAACCAATAAATATCAGCAAGTTATCAGTGAGATATCATTATTATACTAGTATATAGATGGGAGAAGTGAAGAAGTGGAGATCTTAAATAGGGAATGTTACATAGCTAGAAGTACTCAACACAATATTTAAATAGTGCCTGCTCTGATTTTGCACTGTTCCTCACACTATGAAGAAGAATAACACTCTGGGCACTGGCAGATCATTCCTGCAATTCTAGCTACTCAGGAGATTGAGATCTGAGAACTGCAAGTCAAAGACAACACAGACAGAAAAGTCCATAAGGCTCTAATCTCCAATTAACCACCAAAAGCCAGAAGTGAAGCTATGACCCAATTTGTCAAAGGCTAGGCTTGAAGAAAGAAAAGAAAAGAAAAAAAGGTGAAAGGACAGGACCCAAGTCCTGAGTTCAAGCCTCAGTAATGGCATACACACAAAAAAAAGAAAAGAAAAGAAAAGGAAAGGAAAGAAGAAAGGGAAGAGAAGGGAAGGGGAGGAGAGGGAAATTAGGGAAGGGAAGGAAAGAAAGAAGGAAGGAAAGAAGGAAAGGAAGAAAGAATGAAAGAAAGAAAGAGAGAGAGAGGGAGGGAAGGAGGGAGGGAGGGGGGAAGTGGGAAGGGAGGGATGGAGGGAAGCAGGAGAGAGAAAGAAAAATAAAAGAAGAAAAGAAAGAAGAGAGTGAGAAAGAAGAAAAGAGAAGAAAGGAAAACTCATTAAGAAGGTGGTTTTTCCAGAGTAGGGGTTGGGGTTGGAGGTGGAATTTTTTTCAGTTTCTCTATAATTAACAGGACTCTGCAATATTGTGAAATTAAATTTTAGATCCCAACTGTAGATCTTTTGTATCCTTATCTTTCTCAGCATAAAGTATGAATAGTCATTCCTGTTCAGGCATATAATATTAATTCAGCTGACTTAAGAGTGAACCAGGCTTGTCAGCCAATATCAGAAACTGGCTATACTTTGCTTCTCTTCCTTGATTTAGTCATGAAGGCAGAAATCCCCAGGTGCCTCTTCTATGTGGTAAATTTCTCATTTTATGGAATCCAGGAAGGGGTTTTGAAGTTGTGTATGTGAGAGTTACCCACAATAATGCTTTTCCTTATGCAGGGATTTGAAAAGGATGATAGAAAAACAAAGCCACTAGTCACATTTTATCATAAACCTTGTCATACCTTCAAGAATTGGGATGTGTCACACCCAAAGACCTGTGAAAATGGTCTGGATTAATGCAATTACAAAGACTGGATTCTGGCTGATCAGTTGTTTAATTCCAAGTGATTTCATACATGAGAAAGAGAGAGAGTTTCAGGTGGATAAGACTGAAAATCGTTTTTGAGGTGATTACTAGGAAACTATGACATAGATAAATATACATTAATTTTCTCTAGATATGTCAGACCTTCCATTTGTGATTAACTAGTAATTGTAGAAATGGCAGAGAGTAGCTTTTTTGAGTTGGACTTTGATTATACATTATTACCTATATTTTCATTTTAGAATGGCCATAGACTAGGAACAACAATTAGAATTGCAAAAATATTACAAATGATACCTGATTCTTTTTTCTATAAACCAACTAAACTTATAAGTCTTGTTTCTGGAAAAACACCAAAGATCTTGAAGGATAATAAAAGACAAAGTAACCAGGAATCATTATTTGATAAAATTGTGTTTCACTATCCAAACAGTTAAAATACTTTTATCATAATCATGTATGTATTCAGTAAGTATTTAGGACTTACATAACAAATCAGGGACTGTTCAAAACTTTGAAAAAGTGGAGTTTAAACATTCACAGTAATTTGGTTTATTGTTTTAGTGCTTCAATCATATACAAGGCATAAAAGAAATATTGCTTGAGAAAGTAAAGAGCAACTATATAAATTTAATAATTATTAGAGTTTAGAGGTAATTTTGCTTTTCTATAATGCTGAAATCTTTGTCAGTAAACCCACATCCCTGAACAGCTCTAAGTTTTCAATATGTTAGTATTCTCTTTTGTTCTATCCTCCAGATACAATGTACAGTAGTAGAAAATATATTAATTAAATTGATATTTCATATATAATGGGACAAGAAGCCTTATGTTTGATATAGGTATGAACATAATATATCAGTATTTTGCACTAATCTGTACCAATGTAAGCATATATAAAGTATTAATCCAATTGCTTGTGTGTGTGTGTGTGAGAGAGAGAGAGAGAGAGTGTTACTCTATTTCCTTTTCTTGCTTTTCCCTTGAGAGGGCTGTTCATATGAATTTCTATCATAATATGAGAGGTACAGAAGAGCAGGTCTTCTTTTGACTATATTATCATTTATTTAAATACCTCCTTTGTGCTGGTTATTGTCTTTGGGAGTAAGATGCACATGACAAACATTATCTCTGCCCTTATGGAGATTACAGTGAAATTGGAATAGATCCGTATTTTTTAAAAAAATGGCTCTTTGTATATAATCTATAACCTCTATATGTGGTAAGAAAATGATACAAAGGAAAAGTACAAAGTACTATGGCAGGATTTAAAAAAAGGAGCTTAAATGTGGTCAGACAGATTACCTTAAAGTGAGAGAATGGAAGTTGGCCAAGTGAAAGTAAAAGGTAGATATTGTATTCAAAGAGTGGAGAGGCTGAATATGTTGGTGTCTTGTTGGATTTTACACGTATGCAAGAGGGAGAAAAGAGTTCGGTTAACCTTATTATGAGTGAAATTGCTGATTTTCATACACTATCTGCCTCAATTAGGGTGATTTACTAATTCACCAATACATTCTGCACCTCACATCAGGAGGTGGAGATAGAAAAATTATGATAGATGTTCTAGAAGAGTTCTTAGTAGACTAAAATTATATGTGCTATAACTCCAATATCCAGCATCTAGAAAATTCAATGGAAATATCATAAGAGAAAGCACACACTCTGTTGAGAGTGGACGAGAATTTCATGAAGTTATGGCTTGAGCTGAGTTCTCAAGGATGAGTAATTCTCCTCTTATTGACAAAATACAGCAACTTCCTTCCAGGTACAGGCATAGCAAATGCAAAACACAGAGCCCGGAAAGAGCATGAATGCTTAAGGAATTAGAATCCTTATTGCAAAAAAGTATAACAGAGACCTGAAGTTGAAGTCATAGTGTAGTGAGATGACTCAGAACCTGTGCTTAGTGACTTTTATTTCATATCTGACACAAGAATTGTCTCAGTCAGCTGTGTATTAACTGTAACAAATACTTGAGACAAACAACTTAAAAAAGAAGAAAGGTTTATTTTGGCTCATAGTTTCGGAGGTTTCAATCCATGCCCCATTGACCCTTTGGGCCTGAGGCATCACAGGACATCACATAAGAGGAACACATGGTATAAGAGGCCTGCTTACTTTATGACTGGGTGTGAAGGAAAGAGGAAAAGGAGGGTCACTGTATTTCCCTTCAGGTATATGCCCCTGATGACCTAATACTTCCTACGAGGCCCACCGCCTAGCAGCATGTAGGCTTTAATCTATGAGCTCCAGGAGATAGAGATTCACGATTAGAATTATCCTCTCTGTGCTTTCTAAAGAGTGAAGGGTCCATTGAGGTTGCAGAGCCAGGACTGGAAGAAGAGTGAGTTTTGAGATAGATAGCTAGAGCTGATGTGAGGGCTAAAGAAGCAAGGGTCATCTCCACAAGGGAGGAAAAGCAGAATTAATTTCACGAATAGTGAATGATATATAGGATGAAACATAAATAAAATCCACTGCAACAGTACAAGAAAGTAGAAACAGAACATTGAAAAAGTTGACATTGATCAAGAGGCATTGTATTCATAAACTACTTTGCCCAGCTACTTAAAGATAAGACAATAATAATAAAAAGAAACAACATAAGTGAACTTTAGAAATATTTTATTTTTTTCTAAAAAATCTAATATATGTATAATATAAAACGTGTAGTTTTAATAGAATGGATATATGGGTAATTACCGCCTTAGAACAAAATGGTCAAAAACCTTTCAAAGACACACTATTGGAGCTCATTTGACAATGCTGTACATTAGATAATTGAAGACTAGACTAGAATGTTGAAGACTAGATAGTGAATTCATAGTTAAATATGTCTATGTTTTCAAAACTTTCAGATATTGATCATTGTTGAAAAAAATTAAATTCATCTCTACAAAAGCTAGAAGTCAGGAATTTATCTATTTCTTGTTCATCTACCCAAAACACACATTTTTTTCTTTTTTTTAATTTAATTTAATTTTATTTGTGAACATACTGTACAGAGGGGTTACAATTACATGGGCAGGATAATGCATACATTTCTTACCAAGCATTGCAGCCTCCTCCTTTGTTTCCAAAACACACATTTACTGACCTGAGTAATAGTATTTCTAATAAAATAATAAATACCATGTACAATAAAAGTTTAATGAGTAAGTAATGACATTATGCCATACTAAGAAGACATCAAATGTCTAAAGTTATATGAAAAGGATATATTAGTCCTTATAGAACTAAACATTTAGAAATTCTAAATAAGGAAATATATCCTTCACAAGTTAATGTATGACATAATAGATTTCTAACACAATAAACTTAAATATCATACCATAGTCAAGAGTAAAACAGTCTGTACCTCACTATCCAGAAAACAAGAACTGAATATTTTCTCTTTCATGAGAGGATACAAGTGTTCCTCCCTAACAACTTTCTAGCAAAACATCATTCATCTACTAAATCTTCAGCCTTTTCAGTAACATTATTAGGAGTCTGGTCTAGAAATACAATAATCACCTTCAATTCAAAACACTTTGAAAGATTTACAGTCAATGACTTTTTGTTGTTGTTGTTGGTTGTGGGACTTGAACTCTGGGCTTGGGCTCTGTCCCTCAGCTCTTCAGCTCAAGACGAGTGCTCTACCGCTTGAGCTACAGCGCCACTTCCGGTTTTCTAGTGGTTTATTGTAGAAAAGAGTCCTATGGACTTTCTTGCCCAGGCTGGCTTTGAACCTGGATCCTCAGATCTCAGCCTCCTGAGTAGCTAGGATTACAGGCGTGAGCCACTGGCACTTGGCTTAGTCAGTCAATGACTCTTGACCAGCCAATCTAATCAAATTGCCCAAGGATCGAATGATAACAGGGGGAAAAATGATAACAAACAGCAGAAGACACTAGCTAAATGCTTCACTAACTGAGAAGAAATCTTTAGGGGTAAACTCCTTCCTCCCCCCCCCCTCTTCAAAGTAGGGAATTCACAAAGAAAAATGTTGGGAGGAGGAAATAAAGAACCTTCCTTCTTGTCTTCTATAGGTTCAGAGGTTTCTTCCCCAAAACCACTTCAATGAAGACTGGGGAAAATGTCCAAATGGATGATCATTTCCTTTTACCACCTTTTCTTATTTCCACTGTTGAGAAAGAATTGTATCAGTTAACTCCAATTTCCACACTTGGTCCACTCCACTCCGCTTTCAAAGCACAGTGCTTAAAATAGTAATGAAGAGGTGAATAGGCTGGCAGTATTGTCAGCCTCATGCATTGCATTAACACGGCTCATTTACATGTAAAATTGACCATAAGGGTTTTCCCAGGACCATGTAAAACCATGTCTGCTTCTTATCAACCTTTTTATGCTAAGCCATGGAGAACACCCAAATCCTGACTGGGAAGAGATGAAATAACCATCAAGCTCAGAGCCACAAGTACCTGTCCAACATTTTCTCTAAGACTTTCTTTATCCAGGGGGCGTCTGGATCCAGGCAGACTGTGTTCCCGTTCTTCAGGGAGGCTCTGCAGACAATCAGAGAATATCCTCATGAGCCACGCAGGACTAAAGACCCAACAGAGGGGTGGGGGTTGGGGGGGCTTCCCTCTAGCCAAGGTCACCGTGCACAGCACCTAAAACTTACATCACTTCCACCTTGGAGCACTGCGGACCTGCAGGGGTCACCTGCAGCCTCGCGATCCTTTTGGGGTGCACCTTCAAGGAGGTGTTTAAACAGGTGCAACGCAGCTCCCTCACCACCACCACCTCTCTGGCACTGACGGGTCCAGCTGGGGAAGAGAGACTTGGTTTGCAGAGGGTGTTGAGAGAACCCTTCCCTCCAGCCCTGGATGCAGCAGCCCCGCAGAGGGAGGGATCTGCAGCCCTGCCAAGGGTTTCCCGGGTTTTTACCTTCCACCAGAGGCCGGGACCACGTCAGCAGCAGCAGCAGCAGCAGGAGGAGGCTCGGCGTGCACCGGGAGTCGCGGGCACAGGCGGGGCGGCTGGACAGGAGGCTCATAGCGGAAATAGCTCCGGGACGAGCGCAGGTCCTGGGGAGAGGCTGGAGGAGGCGTGGAGATTGGAGGCTCGGGAGCACTGTCGCTTCCAGCCTTCTTTGCACGCCTTTTATCCGCCTTTTGCAGGAAGCCCAAGCATGAAGATGCTGGGGAATTCCCTACGCTTAGGGGTGGGAGGTGGTGGAGGGAGCTGGGCATGGAGGGTTGGGGAAAAGGGTGTCTGGGAGGGGCAGCCTGCACCCCTGTAACAGAAGAGAACTTTCCAGCCCCAGCGCTGATGGCGGCAGAAGCTGCCTCTGCTAGACCCAGACTGGAGGAGCGATCCGGTGGGGACATCATCCCTGGGCTGCTTCACCAGGAGAGAGTGCGCTGGGAAAGGCGACCTGTGTCTACATAGAGACCAGAGGACTGGAACCGAAGTAGTGAGGTTTGACTTGAGAAAAACTTCCTTAGGTCTTCAGTTACCATAGACATCGAATCCATAACTAGCATTGCTCTTCATTTGAAAGACCTTCCTCTCCTTGCCTTTACTCTAAATTTCTCAGATTATCTAGTGATTATTTCTCAGATTTATCTAGTGATTATCAACCAACTTTAGAAGAAATGATGAAGAACATGCCTATCTTTAAGTAGCTGTATAAATGGATTATGAGTACAATGCATCTCTTCTTTTATTTCGTTTCTCAAAGCTAGAACGCTACTGATTGAGTCATATCTCCACTTCTGGGTTTTTTTGGTTGCTGTTTTTTTTTTTGTTTTTGTTTTTGGCTGGTTAATTGGAGATAAAAGTCGCACAGACTTTGCTGCCCAGGTTGGCCTCAAAGTGCAATCCTCAGATCTCAACCTCCTGAGTAGATAGGATTACAAGTGGAAGCCATCAGTGACCAGCTTCACATCTCCCCCCCCCCTTTATTCAAACATAACAACACTGTGCTCAATGTGACCCCTTCCATGCTCCTCCCCCACCTCTACCCCCACCAGACTGATAGGTCAATCTCTCCAGTTCCATTTTCCAGATATACACTGAACATTATGACTGCATTTGCCCAACCCTTCCTCTCTCTATCTGTGTGTCCCTTCCCCTTCACATCACCTCCTGGGACATAACACATGGCCCAGATTCTCTGATCTTCCTTTTGTTCAATGATAATTCATTGTTTAAAGGAGTTCCATCAATGGAATCCCCCCATGCAGATGCCATACTTGAGTTAATATGGTTGTATCTAAATTGTAAATATATAGGAATAGACTTGGAAATCAAGTCTGCTTACTAGAAATTCTAGATCTGTAGTTTAGTGAGTACAGTCATTTGTTGGGGGTGGTTTAAGAAACAAAAATGTCACACCTGGCAAATTACTCTGAAAGATAGTACCTTGCTACTGACAATTCCATACACTATCGAATTAGATGAAGTTTGGGTCTTTGGGAGGTAGAGAGGGGTGTGAGGTAGTGGAGCTGACTAAAAGCAGTAACAGAGCAGGGTGGTTTACATCTATAACCATAGCTACTCAGAAGTGGAGCTGTGGCTCAAGGGCTAGCCTTGGGAGGAGGTTGGGGAACAACCTCAGGGACAGTACCCAGACACTAAACTCAAGCCCTAGAACCAGCATACGTGCACATGCGCGCGCACACACACACACACACACACACACACACACACACACACTGCAGTGACAGAGAGCCTATACCTAGTGCTATTGCTGGGGTTCTCCGGCCATGGGTGGATTTGACAGAATTCAGAGAAGCTATGGGGGAAGCTGATACATTTGAGAAGCTCATCTGGAGATCTGATCTAAGGGTGTGAATGAACTTTAATTTCTCTAAACAACTTCATGAGGTAGGGAGAGGTTCCAGACTTCTGGAGCCTTCCAGTTTCATTATTCATGCTTAAAACTATTTCCAAAATCTTCTCTAGAGCCCAGCGGTTCCCTCCCCCCTTCAAACTGAAGGGCAACGGCTTCCAGAACTGAGGTTTTTATGTTGAAATCATGGCTAGGATTAAAGTTTTTATGTTGAAGTCACGGCTGGGATTGAGTAGCATGGGTTTGTTTCTTCATGGAAATCTAACTAGATACTTTAGTAGATTGTCATCAAGACCTTTGACCTCTAATGAGCCAGTAAATGATGGTACACATGATGGTAGTCAGAAGCTAGTCATGTAGTGAAACTCTTTTCCTTGTCCCTTGTGACTCTGGGGAATTTGATAAAATCCCCCCAACCCATTCCTCTTGGAATAGAATCACCTCCATTCCTGAGCAAGATGGTATCTTAGACCTTAAGACTTTTATTCTGGAAGGAAAATTAAAGTCTGACTGAGGAAAGCTGGGAGGTTTGGCTGTTGCTTCTAAAAGGGAAGTCCTATGTCCTGCACAACTTCCTGATACCATCAGCATCATACCTGACTCAGCGAATGTAATCCTCCAGCCTTCTAAGAAGCCCTAATCTAGAGAAAGCTGCTCTAGAGACATCACGTTGCCTTTTTTGAGATTACAATCTAGCTTCACCAACATGGAGGAGACAAAACTTGAAATGTGACTAAAGAGCTTGTTCCATTAAATTCAACTTAATCACAAGGAAGAAGTCACACTGTAATAAGACTTTGTGGAAAAGAGTTGAATGACATAGGTTAGGTTGGACATGTGTGTGTGTGTGTGTGTGTGTGTGTGTACCTGTGCACATGCACACATGTCCACATCACACAGACACTCTTAGGTTAGTTCCAGATATAATACTTTAAACACAAGTGACCATATGAGTTAGTCTTGGCATCAGAGGGTAAGACCAGATAAGGGTTATAAGATCAGAGTCTCAGTTTCAACTGACAGTTTCATACATGTACATGCCTTACCTGCTTTTCACTCTGAATCAATTTGCCATGGATTATTTGCAGAATATAAGGGGGGGAAAAACAGTGTTTCTAACTGGCAAGCAGGTTGTAGAAAGTCCCTGCAATGGAAGTGGGCTGTTGTGTTGCTCAACCCCATCAGGAAGCTGTTTCTAACCTCACCTGGCTTTTCATTGAACTTGTTCTGGCCTACTGCCACATCTGGCTTCTTAGTCTAGGCACCTCTGGTGCTGGCCTTGTACAAAAACAAATAGGAATGTGCATGAACCACAGATTTCGCTAATTTAAGAATGACAGCTCCAATAATGAGTAGTGACAGAGTACTTTAACAGCAATTACTTCTTTATTGCCAATTTAAAAAGAAGGCATTCGTCTTCCCTGTACTATGTCCAGGTGGTAGAAAAAAATTCTGTTATTTGTTTTCCCCAACACTAGTGAAACTACTCACAAATGAAATTTATCCTGATAGCTTGATTTATTGTCTGTCAGAAACAAAAAAAATTAGTTATAGTATCAGTTATGTAATATGAAGACAGTCTCTATGATTTCAGCTCTCAACACCTGCTCATTGTTTCTTGAGTTTCCCGCTGATTCTTTTTGTTTGTAGATTTTTTTATTTTATTTTTATTTTTTTATTATAACTGTGATGTATAGAGGGGTTACAGTTATATAAGTAAGGAAATGAGTACAGTTCTTGTCAAACAATGATACTGCCTCTCCCATTTTCTCCCACTAACCCTCCCCCCAATTCTCCTTCCCCCCAAGTTGTAAAGTTCATTCCAACATAGTGTCTTGTGAGTATCATTGTTGCATTTGTTCATCCTTTGTCCTATGTCTCAACATTTCTGTGATTCTCCTTCTCATCCCCCCAAAAGATAGACTTGCATATGATACAAAGGATGAGACAAATAAGATAAGTACTCTTTCTCTTTACCAGTTACAGGCCAGAGAAATATTTGAGAAGTAGAAAATTCACTGAGTGCTGGTGGCTCATACCTGTAAACCTAGCAACAGAAGGCTGAGATCTGAGGACCATGGTTCAAAGGCACCCCAGGCAGCAAAGTCCATGAGACTCTTATCTCCAATAAACCATCAGAAAACCACTGTGGCTCAAGTGGTAGAGTGCTCACCTTTAGCTGAAGAGCTGAGGTGCTGTAAAAAAATTCAGGATTGGAAACTGGGCACTAAGGAACCAGCTACAACACACACACACAGACACACACACACATGTACATACACACACACACACACACACATTTACAAATTATATATATTCTAGATTATAAACCATGGTTTTCACAGTCACTGACCAGTGTCCTTCCAGTGTTTTCCACAATCTTGTTAAACACTGTATCATACTGACCAAGGATCATGTTTTTGAACTATAGAAATCCTTGGCTTATTTGTGCCTGTCTTCATGGCTGCAGTAATACCAGGTTCCAAGAGACTTCTGAATCACCGACTCTGAAGGTATCTTTTACTTTCTATGTCCTTCACTTTCTTCAAGACAAACAAAAAATCCCATCAGCTTTTTCTCACAAGACCATTGGAGATGAATATATCTTACCTTTGGTCTTTGAACATCAAATGCACATACCCTAACTACATACTGAGGCATGGGTGGATTGAACAAGGTTCTAAATATTCAATACAGGGCTATCCCTCACCAACTGCTGGACAGAAGAGATCACGAATTACTTTCATTTAGCTGTACAAGCCTAATTTGGTTATTGTTGTGGTTGTTGCCAAAGTTAAATAACATATAGGGAAAAGAAAAACAGATGAGGTTTAAATTTTTAATATTTCCAGAAGCCCAGGACTTCTCAGAAATAAGAAGTAGTTATTGCTTCCTTCAGAAATTTGATCTGGGCTAAGCAAAAGCAAATAAGAGAAAGAAATCCTTTTTAGTGATAACTACTTTAAATAATTTAAGAAAGCATTTGTATAGTACTACAATGGTCCTTCACAGAAGTTAGGCTTAGAACCCTGTGCCTAATAATGGCAGTGTGTTTGATTGTTCTCTTCTGGCCACCATTGCCTTGTTTTTGTTTTATTTTATTTTTACTTTTTTGTAGAACATTCACTTCTGCACACTAACACAATATATAGCCTTTCCATTTGATATATTGTAAACCTTTGATATGTAATGTATTTGAAATATAGTGAGCTTTTATCAATACTGCCTTAGTAGGAAAAATTGGGATGTAGTTACAGGTGTGTTTTATGTGCTTCTTGGACA